CCACAAATTATTTGCAGCTCCTTTCATCAAGAGATGGAGTCTATTTCTCCAACACTTGTATCTGGCCCTGGTCTTGTGACTTTGGCCAATGGGACATTGCAAACGTTAAGAAGAGACTTGAAAATATAAGAAATATAAGAAGAGACATGGAAAATGCTCATGAATTAGCACTTGCCCTTTCTCGCCTCTTTCTGGGAACCCTGTGCCATCACATGAATAGGACTGGGCTTGCCTCCTACAGGATGGAGGCCAGGTGGAGAGAGACCTCAGCTGTCCTGTTTATCCCAAACTTTCCAGTCTCCCCATCTTTTCCAGACACTCTGGCTGATGTCCCAGACATGTGATTAAGCTCAGCCAATAATACCATGTGGAAAGGAGATGAGCCAGCCCAGCAGAGCCCAGCCCACACTGCCTACCCACAGAATTACAAACAAACAAACGATTGTTGTTTTAAGGCACTCGGTTGTGGGGTGGTCTGCCACATAGCAAAAACTAAGTGACACACTGACCTCATTTGTAAATCAAACATTTGAGTATTGTTTTTCTATTTTTCTACTCGTTTTGTGAGCTGCACGGAGATTTGTCAGTAGTAAGTAATGAGCACAATATGCTGGCTCTGCTGGTCACTGTCCTGGAAGGGGCTGTCTAGTTCATAACCAGCCAAAAGGAAAGCCCCAGATGATACAGGGGGTGGGGGAGGGGAGGATCTATAGAAACAAGGTGATAGGCCCTCTCCTACAGGAGGTATTTCGACTATAGTAAGTATATTTTTAGTGAGGTTGGCTAATTTAATCAATCTGAGAAATCAAACAGACTATGGAGTCTTAGCTCTTAAAGTTTCACTTAGATCAGACACCTGTCTTGAACCAATATGTAACACAACTTTAAATTGCCTAGAATGGACTAGGCTTTGGTGCTCCAGTGTTGAGAAAGTGTTGTGACACAGGCAAAAAGCTAACTTGTGCATGGAAAATCATCCTGATGAGTGTATGACACACAGCTTGTCCAATGGATAATGAACAGAAATAACCCCCGAGAGGCTTCCATCCTTACCCTTATAGGGTACACAACAGCTTCTTTGACTAACCGCTTGGCTGCGTCAAGTCCAATAATGTCATTCCACTTTATGTTTGGATTATGGAGATAAATGTCCTGCAATGCACATTTGATCATTTTGTTAAAACTGATGTTTTCCTCTACAGCTGTAATAAACATGGGGGCAGCAGAATACTTGACTTACAATAGGATATAAAGTGCTGGTGATAAAAACTTTTCATATTAGATATATGTATATATCTACATTGTAATTTTGGGTTAGTTCACCAAAGGCATGCCATGAAAATATTCAATGATTTTCCCTGAAGAAGATATTGATAATATAATACAGTACTTTTAGGGGGGAAAAAAAAATCTAACAATGGACTCTACCTATCTTCAGTCAATAGCAAACCATGATGATTTACGACCATAGTTAAAGAAGCTACAGAATATGCCTTCAAATTACATTAGCTTTTACTGTAAAGCATAGTTCCTAGCCAGCGCCTGGCCTGCCTCTTGCTCCTTGATCTCACAAACACTTTCTTAATTTGTTGCATAAAAGAGATAATGCTCCTCTGAAGCCAATTTCTCTTTTTTCCCTAGTGATCGTTCCCAACATCCAGCAGGAACAATTGCTTCTGCAAAATTCAAGGAAGCTGACAACCCAGCAAAAGTGCAGTTTTTCCC